TGCATATTTTCCAATGATTTGAAACTCTTCGGAAACTTGCCGATTGATAATAGAAAAGAAATGAGTATAATTATTACCAATTAATTAATAATGCAGAATAAATTATTTAAATACTGTTATGCTATAAGTTATTTCTCACTCCTTCCAACATGCCTTCGTGGTATAAAGGTAGCACCCTCGAAGCGTATTCAAGAGGACGAGGCTCAAGTCCCGTCGAGGGCATTGCACATTTTTCACCTCTCCAGCATCTAGAAACCTAATGACTCTACAATGCAATTAATCGAAAAAAATTCTTAACCTAAACGATTTCTTGAGCCTTATCTGGCCCACTTAAAACATGCTATTTTAAAATACAACTTCGTCAAACATCTGGCGTTCAAAGGTTTCGGTATTATTATAGAATGTATTCTTATTGTCTCTCTTTGCATAAAATACACAAATGTAACCAAACGATCAACAGGCATCGTGTCAGATGTAATTCATGTCTGACTAATTCTAACTTTGCACATTTAAATGAAAGCACTTAGCAACATTCAATCGGGTAACAATTCGGGATGCATTGATTATAATAGTTGACGTGCAAGCCGACTAGTTAATGGAACGTTACCAGTTAAGGCTCACTAAGTATGGTTTGCATTTGCTAGATAAACTTTACTTCATTTCCATTCTGGTTTTGGTTTACAGACAAATAGAAAAGTACAATAAAGTATTAATAACAGAAAAGTACAATAAAGTATTAATATAAAACAGCTGTTCAGTTATATAAAGATTACAGCATTACATTAAAACTATGTTTCACAAGCATTTCAAAGTGATATATTTTTGTTATAATAATAATAATTTTGTAAAGAAAATAATTTCATTAAATTTTCTATTAATTTTCAGTTTGAGAAATTATACTAGTAAATAATGATGACTTTCTTAACATTAATTAAGATTAAGCAATTAAGATCGCTTATAGTTAATTATTCTTACCAGTCTCTCATATAGAACCATTTCTTAGATGCTGCTGATAATAATTTGGAGGAAAAAACGATTGTAAACGCTTCCTTTCTTAGGAATATTACAATCATTATTTATAAAATTAGGTGTGCTTTTTTTTCCTAATTGAATTCGTGCGTCGGTTTTCATAGGAAATTAAGAGAATTAAAAGTGGGGAATGAAATGTGAATTGCAATTCATTACAAACTTTTGAACGGTATAATAAGCTTTGTGTTATGTGTTCAGAAATGTGATATTTTGAGCGATCGTGAAAGTTTTGATCAAAAGGCGATATTGAAGTAACAAAAGGGATAAGTGCGTGTTTAATCATTCTCCTATATCTTTGTCATTTGGTTTTGAAGGAAATTATTGAATGCCTTTACAGAAGTGTTATAATATTCTGCAATACTTATTTAACAGAACAATGAGGTATTTTCTTTTGTTGCGCCTCATGTTTTCAAAGGTATGCTTTGAAAAGGCTATTATGCGATAAATGCCTATTCATTCATTCATTAGAAGAGCTGTAGTATGAAAGGGAAATAAAGGAATTAATATTTTATATAAGCTGTGTTGTTTTAATCGCGTAACCATATTGTTTTAAGGGTTGCTTTCATAGAAAAATATACTCTTGCTTAAGGAGATTAAGCGTAAGATAATGGAATATCTGTGAAGTGAACTCGAACGATGATAGAATTATATGAAGGCTATTTTTTTAAAGTAACGTCTGTTTTCCGAATAAATAGTTTACAATAAAAATGAAACAAATAAGACTTAAAAAACAGTTGTTTTTTTATTTCACATATAATTTTTTGTTTTCTTCAAACTATTCTTGTCGATTAAGCTGTTATCGTAACAAAGAGCGAGATTTTAGATACAATCTTCATAATACTCTCATACTAAATTTATTTATTCACAGTTATTTCTATTAGTTTTCTACACTTAATTTCATGGGTTATCTGAATCCTTTATTATAACAGTCAGCCTAAAAAATATATTTACATTTTACTCGAGAGTGGCCAATGATAGAGCATTTTTTCTTCTGAAAGAGAATATCTGTGCATGCATAATATATGGCTAAGACTTTTAAATAATCTGGTTTAAGGCAGATATCATAGTATTCAACGCTTATTAATGAAACTTTGGAATTACTGGGGAATTTTCAGAGATTATTGGCTAATTGAGAAATATGATTGTTTATTCTAATTCTGCCATACCAATACTTCCGAAAATTTTTAGGTGAACTTTACCTCTTCTCTTGTTACATACTTACACTGGTGTGCAAGTATTAAGGACGAAGTCGAAAACTTAGCATATCAGCTGAACGAAGAGGCAGAGCGGACAGAAAGACCAATCAGGAGATTAAGCAAGGTGATGTACGGTAGCACATGCGCAGATATGCAGGCAGACGTAATGGGGGAGTGTCTGAGTAGTATAAAGCATGTTCTCGGTGTAAGATCAGTATTTGGCAAAGAGATTGCACCCCGTATAGCAGTTAAAATCACACCGACTTGCTGCCTCAGCGAGAAATGGCGAATAATCAATCTGTTAGACGACATCTGGATGCTTTTACCCGACGTCGAATCATTGGAAGTTGGAGGAAGGCCGCAGTGTGACAAGTGTGGCTGCAGAGTTCGGAATTGCTCACAGCATCGTTTCACGACTTTGGAGACAATTTCAAACTACAGGAACAGCTATCTGGGGTTTTAGTAGTGGTCGTCCACGAAGAACCACACCCGCAGATGACCGGTATATTGCCTTACAGGCCAGAAGAAACAGGCGGCAGACAGTGGGAGAAATCGCTAGACACACGACACAGGCGATTGGACGACCGATATCGCGTTTTACCGTGGCCACAAGACTGCACGGTGGTGGTCTGTTTGCACGACGCCCTGTACGGTGTGTACCTCTAATGCCTGCCCATCGGAGAAGGCGTTCTCTGTAGTGCCGGAAACACTGGAATTGGAGAGACAATGAATGGGGATGAGTACTCTTTACAGATGAGGGCAGATTCAGTCTGAGTAGCGATTCTCATCTGGAGAGAGCGGGGAAGCCGCAATCATTCCTCGAACATCATTGAAAGGGACAGGTATGGAGGTGGCGGTGTCGTTTGGGAGGCATCATGCTTGGTAGTCGTGCAGACCTTCACATCTTCGACGCAGGTTCAGTCAACGGGACCCGTTATTGTAACGAGAGTCTTCTTCCATATGTGCGTCTTTTTAGAGCGCTATGGGTCGGCAGTTCCTTTTCATGGACGACAATGCACCATGTCATCGAACAGTAGCTGCCGAACAGCTCTTAGAGAGTGAGGATATTGAACGTATCGATTGGCCAGCACGATCTCCGGATCTCAGTCCCATCGAGCATGTATGGGATTTTCTAGGTAGACGCTTGGCAGCTCGTACCTTACCACCAGTAACGATTCCGGAGCTTCGATTGCGCTGCAAGACGATTGGGCAGCAATGCCTCAACAACTCATTGACACCCTCATTCTCAGCATGGGCAGACGCTGTGAAACCTGCCTAGCAGTCAGAGGACATCATATCCCCTATTAAAAACCGGATGTTTCTTGCTGGACAACCATCACAGGGTATCACAACATAACCACAGGGATGTTTCGGCCTTCAGTCGAAATTGCGCTCCATGCTACTTTTTCAATAAAGCTTCTTTTTATCCATCTGATTTCTCTTTTAGTAAGTGTTGCTTACATTACTCATTTCCTTACGTATTGGGGATCTTACGGTATTAAATGTGTTGATTTGGAAAGCTTTTGTACAAAGTTATATTGAAAAAACCGTCTCGTCCTTAATTTTTGCACACCAGTGTATAGTTAGTTTTTAAAGTAAAACCTTTTCTAGCTAGTAAAGTACTAGCTTTTCATCCTCTCGATCAAACCGCCCAAAATGGAGTTGGTTTACAAAGTAGCAAATCTTGCTTCCCACATACCTAGGAGTTAAGCTGGACACAAAGCTTTCATGGAATAACCACATCAGATATACTGCTGAGTGTGCCCAGAACAGATTAAACCTCTTCAACCTGCTCACTGGGACGAAGAGAGGCTGCACACAAAATGATCTCACAACGGTCCTGTGAAACGTATGTCAGACCACCTATGGACTATGCACGAGAGGTGATCTGCGTGGCCTACAAACTCAACCTTAAAAAGCTTTACAGGGTTCAGAACAAAGCCCCGAGGCTTATAAACGGTGGTGCTTTTCAACTCCAGTAAAAACACAATGGAAATACTAACGAATACCAAGCCTTTTGACACATGAAGAGAAAAGCTGTTAAATTTTCAGATAGGTTCAGACATATCGATTTTGTACATTAGAACATCTGCAGACCATCTACTGCCAAACTCAATACATTAAGTCATCTCCATGCTGCAAGCTGAACGATTAAAAATGAAGTACAGGTTTATGACATGGGCACATCAGAGTCTGTCAAACGTCATCGAGCTATCTTCCCATAATTATGTGGGAAACAAATATCCCTCCTGCAGTATATAGTGTCTAAGTACACGCCATTCCCTGAAGAACTTAGAAACTCGGCTGTGAATGAAATGAATCCACAATCTTTGAAACTGAAATGATCCTCACGATATATCATGAAGAAGAATGGCTGCACGTCTACACTGACGGATCCAAGCTAAGCTTTCTGAAATGGTAGTGAGCTGCATTGTAAACTCTTTGATACCACAGTCGGTCCAAATACCAGCAGTTATGGCGGGGAGATTATGGCAATCCACCTGGCGACTGAAGGAATAAGTAAACAGCAGAACCAAATTAGCATTCGGCATGTAGTGTTCTTCAATGATATACAAACAACTATCACCGCTCTTACAAGTAACACACCATCGACTGCAATAGGAGCCATAACGGACATAAAATCCTTACCAAATTTATTACTGATGGTTGAACTGACTACAGTAAGTTCCAAGTCATATTGGCATCCGTGGGAATGAATTAACTCCGAAGAGAACTAATCCGAACGCGCTGACCTTCCTAACATCGTACAAACACATGATTGCAGCCTCGGTGAAAGCAAAATCAGCAGAAGAAATGCGTCGAGGAAAGAAATGGGAGAGCTTATTCTCAAAAGGTCCCATTCCAAAAACTCTGTGCACATCAGTCACCGTGGCAGAATTCACGTTGTGCACGAGGTACGACTATGTTCAGGCCCACTTGTACAGTTTTGGTATAGCGGACAGCGCCACATGCCCCTTTGTCAGGATGGAAGAATGGACGGAGAGCATCTTCAGGGCTACAGTGAACTTGCCAACACTTCGACCTCGCAGCATGCAGTCACGTCCAGCCTATATTGGGAAGCTCGTCGCCGAATGGAAGAATTGCGAAGGAGTGGCATTGGCTAAAAAAGACAAAATAGTTTTTACTGCGTTTCCCAAGGCTGGTAAACTTTGTCAGTGTTCTTTCAATATTTCAGTTCTTGCGACCTTGTCACTCAGCCCATTTTTCTTTAAATTATTAATTTTCTATCTAAGAAAGCAAAAGTCTGAATTCTCGTTTCATATTATTTATTATTTTCTTGTAAAATTTTATTTCTCTTCAGAGAGACATGCCGATGCAAAAATTTAAAATTACGCAAAACATCAGCTGTAAGTTTGCGTAGATATTGGATATAACTTTAGCGATTTTGAGGTAATAGGTCCCTGTTCTTTAAGAGCAATTGCCTTTTCTTTCACCGTGTGAAAGTGCTTTTCAAGACATATAATTCTCATAGTTTGTTTCAAAGGCTGATTTTGGAAAAGGCTTGTTTCCAAGGCTGATTTGTTCACGCAAGTTTTTTGAAAAATGAGTGGATTAATGCTATACAGTTTTAAAACACTTTTAGACTTTCAGTAGTGTATGAAATTCCGTATTAATTAAACCTTTAGAGTTTGGTTTTCTTTGGTAGCAAAAACTAGCATCAAACTCCTAGCAGATTTGTAGCGGCCGAGCGGTAAAGTCGCTGAACACTGGTAGTTCGGTCCGAGGTTCGAATCCCGCGAACGGGCTGGCTGCATGGGTGTTTTCGTGGTTTTCCCCATGTGTACGTGTATACGAGCCAGTTTCCCTTAGAAAGTCCTCCACGAAGGCATCCCTCCTCTTAGGCAGATAGCCCAAGTGTGCTTTGCCATAATTAAATAAACCAAACCAAACCTAGCAGATTTAGAGCGAATTATCGCTTGGTAGCAAAATCTAGCATCAAACTCCTAGCAGATTTGGAGCGAATTATCGCTTGGTCTGTAAGTAACAACAGAGCCTTAGAAAGGTAGATTTAAAACAACCTTTTTATTAAATCAGAACTTGAAGGTAAAATGAACGTCTCGTGCTTACAAATTGAACCATCACTTGTGGCGATGAAACTTAAAAGTAAGAGTCTAGTACTCAAAGACTACAGAAGAAACCTAGTAATGTGGCTCCCAAGAGACAGAAACGCGCCGTATCTTACAACCCAAAACCCTCAACTTAAATACTATCTAACTAAATTTGCATTCTAATAAAGAAACGGAAAACAGAAGTGATAGTAAAGGTCTAAATCGTAATAACTGATTAATTAAAATAAAAAGTAAGTTTGCAAACTGTATCACCTCAAAGCTGTATAAGCAATTAAATTTAGCATATTTTTGCTAGAAGATGTCACGTGAACAAATTTTTCTAACCTAAAAGCTTATCTTATTTCATTATTTTTTAAGTTTAACCATGGATGAACGAAATTTCATTCAAAAGACAATTAATTATGCAATTTCTCTAGAATCTCCTGTATAACTATAAAAATTCTTTTATATTTGCTAGTAGATCAGCGCAAATTCCAAAATTCAAAATTTTCAAATGTGGAATAAAATTAGATACTAATAAATTAAAAAAGTAGTTTTAGACAAAAAAATGTTAACGGAAAAATATTATTTAAAAAGTAATAACTCTCGTGGTTATTGATTTCAAAATCAAAGACATTCTTTTTCGCATTATAACAAAGAGAGGTATATCAATCTCCTTCGATCCAAAAATTTCGTGACAGTTTGAAAGATAACTTTCTTTTCAGTAAAGACGAGAAAATATCCGCGTAGATGAAAGTATTGATTCTTTTTTTTTTTTTTTTTTTTTTTTTTTTTTCAATGCCATTTTTTCTTGACCCCACGATTAAGTGAAAATACGAAATTGTTGAAAGCAATCTTCACCGAAGAATTAAGAAAGGCATAACGCTTTTCTTCATTATTTTTAAAGGATAGGAAGATCAGGGCGTCTTGGTTGGTTCTTTTAAACTGTGTTTAGAATTTAATTCAATTCGGCTAATATGCATTAACGTATTTCTTTTCCAGGGATGTAATTATGGCTAGTTAAAATAATGTTGATTCTGTGTGATAAAGGTCTTTGATGCATATTAAACAATTAAATTTTTAAAAGAATTTTATTGAAACGCTACGAATTAAGGATTTCTCTGTCCAAAATGCACTCCATTTTTCTTCATACTAGCTATATAATGTAGATATTATATGATTTACATTCAAAACACTCTGTACTAGAGATTTTATCTTTTTAAAATGCAAATTATTTCGTTAATATTAGCTATATAATGTTATAATGTACACATGTTATATGATTAATTTTAGGGGACCATCAGCGGCCGAGCGGCTCGTTGCTGAACTGCTGAACATTGGTAGTTCAACCCGGGCCTTAATCCCGGCGAATTGTTTGGCTGAATGGGACATTTAAGGGGTTTTCGCAAATATAAATGTGGATATGAGTCAGCTTCTCTTAAAAGTCCTTCACAAAGGCATCCCTTACCCGAGGTGGATACAACCTTTTAGTGTCTTTCCTTTGTTCCTTCAACCTAACCTAAACCTGTGACTTACTTCAGGCACATAAACATTCGTTTACTGAGCCATTATTTTTATCTAGTACGGAAGGTAGCTAAGGAAGATGTTGGTTATAAGTATAGCGCAGATGTTCAGGAAATATGCTGTACTTTGTGAGTACAGATTTGGGAGGATTTTATTTCCTGGCAAAATAGGATTTTCTGGTAATTCGAAGAAAAGTTTGTTGCAATTCTTTAACACAGGATAACCTTATAATAATATTTACATCTCCAAATCAGATAATGGTGGTTCAGTGGGTTTACTAATTTTAACACTTTTACATTTTTAACAATATTTTAATTACTATATACAGAACGTATTCTTAGGCCGCCGCCTTCGACATGAACAAACTTTATTCTCCTACAACTAAGCGAGCAACAGCGCCCTCTAGCCTTTTTCTTCAAATTACACAACAAACCTTATTTTATACACATTTACACACATTTATTACTTTAATGGACGCGGGCATGTGTGTATTTCAATGTATATTTATGCACATTTACATTTATTTCAATGCAAGCGATCCATTAAATTAAATGCACAACTATGTCTAGAATAATAATATTTTATTATCAGTACTATTATTATTATTTCTGTTGTCAAATAAATACATCTCTGTCTACATTGCGTTACTTTACAGTGAAATAATATCACAGCAAAATTTTTTCTATCATTTGATTTTGCTCTTTTTAAAAGCTAAATTTAAATATCAGATTTTTATTTGATATTTTTAATTTCTGCCAGATTAATTATTAATAGTATGCCTATCCTATTAAATTTATTTTTCAGGTGCCAAAGTTAAGGCTGCAGTTTGTTTTTTTAAACTTATATTTTTATAATTTAATTTTTAAAATACATTTTAATGGTAAACTATTCTAGGTGTTAGACCTTAATCTGAAGTTTCAGACTGCTGTTTTGATTTTAAAAAATCACCTTTCTTCCAAAAAGAAACTTTATCAAGAACTAAAAAATGTCTTAGTTGTATATTAATTTATAATTTCCAGAAATCTCGGCAAATATATTTTAGTGACATCCATATAACAATAGCTTGCTGAATAATAAAAGGCACTTGTGAAAATCCAAAAGATTCCGAGACATAGTTCCATAAATAATATATTAGTCCACACTACTGAGAAGAAATTTCACTTTTGTTGAAAAGCCTAAAAGAAACATGAAGTTGACTCTATTACGTGGGGTAGCGTTAGCCTTGTATTTAATGAACTATGAAATGTAACTTTCTGTAAAGCCTCAGGCAAGCTATGATTACAAAAGTGAAAATAAGGTTTTTAAAAAAATTGCGTCCCAGAGTTTCGGAGTTTCCAAATTGTTCCATTTCAAATCTTTTAAGGTTATTATAGCGTGGTCTGTTCTGTTGATTACATATGGCTACTGCTTCAAAACTCCGAGTATTTGTCAGAAGTGTAATTGGATTTCTCATTGGCTGAGACAAGTTGTTTTGCTGATATCTGGGGTGAAGAATCGTAAACCGTATTTTACTTCATAAAGGAATTTAGATCTCATGTTAAAAACTTAATATATATCGAAAATACAGAATATTAGAAGTAAATGTTATTAACAAAGAGTAATTTAGATTTAAATAAAATTACTAATTTACTGTCTCATATTGAGAATTTAAAATAAAGTAAAATATTAATTAACAGAAAAAAACAAAAGTTAGTAAGAAATAATATCACATATTTATTATTAACTAACAAATAGATATATATATGTATAGAGAGAGAGAATGCGCTATTTTTAAATGTACGTATTTGAAGATTTGAAGTGATAAATTTCGCATAAACTATAGTTTAATTTTATCCAAAGTACTTCATTAGATTCATTATAATAGTGATGATTAAAGTAATAATTTTCCGTATCTCGAAATCTTCGAATCAGGAGAAAGATTGATGATGAGGGACCTTTAGCTGCTCTCGAAATCGATCGAGTGTTTCAATATACTTACGCTAAATACAAGGTTGTTTTTACGATTTTGATTAAATAATGCCTAATTAATATTTTATCCCAAAGGGGCAATTTGGCCTGAACAGCTATTAATTTCGTTCTCGCATTTTGCGTTTATTAGTATAAACGGAGAATCACTTTTTAAATTGTTGACCCCAAATATTAGAGCCCTGTATTATATTTTAAAAAATTAAATAATGAAGATTCTGCATAAATGTATGTATGTTTCTCGCACTGCTATAAAATAACGGTACCTAGAGCCATCAAATTTTGAATTAATGTACGTTTCCACCCGAATTTGCGCATCTAGAAGCCCAAATTTGGAATTAGTTTTTATTATCTATTTCATATTTTGTAAAACTTTAAAGAAATATTTGATTAACAAATTCAACGATTTCAAAACGAGCAGTGGGAACACTGTGGGGGAAAAAACATTTTTATCTCTAGCGCGCGAGACTGTGTATCAGAAAGTCTAAAGATATACTGATTTTTACGATGTTGTTGTTGAATTGAATTTTATGGTTTAAGTGCGAAGAACAAATAAAAGTAATACACAAAACGTTAAAAAAAAACCCTTTGGGCGCAATATAAA